GGCTCAGAAATAACCATAAACCTGCAATGTCTCAAACTTTACATCTTTATTGACAGTTAACAAGTCACCTGGAGCTGCCTTACTGCTTACACAGGGAAGTTTTGACTGCTAATTTTGGCAGGTTGTCAATGATTGCCAGTAGATGGAAATGATACAGGTAATACACTGCAGGCTAAAGGAAGGTCAGAGAGAGAAAAAAGTCAAAATGAAAAGGAAAAGAAAGACCCATCAGCAGTTCTTTTTTTTAATTCACTGTAGAGCTAGTGTTAGCAGTGCTCAAAGTTCAGTCTCACACCAGAGAGTCTTTGTCCTGCTTCTCTCAGATCCTTTAGCTACAGTTTGACAAACTCCAGCAGCTTCATCCACCTTTCACTCACAGTGGTGTCTGTGCAGCCGCTCGACCATCATGACCTGACTGATGGAGAACCTCCTGAGATGGTCGTCCTCCAGCACCATCTACCGAAAATAGAAGAATGTCAATATATATTATAATCCTGGAAAGTCTGTTATGCTACAAAACAGCTTCTACTGGTAGAATGCATGAAATGACCAGTTCACCAATTCTTTTGTACAAGGTTTTATTCAGAGGACTCAGTGAAACAAATTCCCCTCCAAGAGAGTGGAGGCCCTTGAACAGAATCCAGGAGGATTCCATGAAACAGTTCTGCTGTTCTTTAGTGCAAGAACTCGCCACACGTATCACATGATCAGTAGGTAAAAGGTAAACGTTTCAGTGAAACTCGTAATGTTTCAGTGAAAAGCTGAATGACGCTCTGCTTGAGCAGCCGGTTAAGGGCAGACAGCTGAGGATTCCTCCAGCTGTGTGTTGCTGATAAGATAATCTGTCGAGGAGTGGAGGTGCTGGGCTGGCGTTGACAGGATGAGCATCTCGCTCTGTTCTGTCACTTATCGAGTGCAACATTCCCTGCTGTTCAAATAGTGTCGGGAAAAGTGTCATAACCATGACAGAGTTTTTGCCATCCTTGGTGTAGTCATTAGCATGCTAGCAGTGCGTCATGGTGTGTCTGCCTCAGGTGGTGCTGCTGGTAAAACATTTCCATATCTCGCCTTTTTAAATCCTGAACTCTCCTTATTGACTGATGTAATGATTTGAAAACACATTGTAGAAGCAAAGTAAGCTATAATATCCAGTAAGTAAACCACAAAATCACTAATTATTAAATTATTTATGGCCTTTTTCTCTTTAAGTCTTGTTCTGTTTCATAGAATCGGTCCTACCTGTTATGTACTTTGTATTGTTGCATAAAAAAGAGATTTATCTCTTACAGCTATTAAATAAAAGCATGAGCTGGGATGGTTGTCTTTCTTTTGGTACAGTTGTAATTCCTCCATATGTTGGTTTCTATATTCTGTTGAGTTTCCTGCTAGTTATTTCTGATCAGTCAGTTTCCTTCAGTGATGAGTGTCCCTAGTGAAATATCCCTAGATGCAGTATTTGTGTTGCTCAGATCCAGGCTGTTGAATCCGCCAGTCACTATGGATACGTCTTGTCTCAAATTGAAGCAAAAACAACTGAATTCTGATCATTAGAGTTATTATTGGAGCTTGAAGTGTATTTTTCTTGATGTAGGCATATAACAGAGTTCAGATAGTTAGTGGTTAAACATACAGTAATTGCAGAGTTGCAGACACTGATGTGTTTGTAACTATGAGCACCATCTTTTATATTACGCTTTTCCCCCTGACCCAGTGTTTACTATATATTAAAATAGTGATGTGAGGAGACTATGCTTTTTACAGATCTTATAGCATCAAATAGGCTAGTATTTCAACAAAAACCAAGTCATTTTCCTGTAAGACCAAACACTGCAGCCTTGTACGACCACTGTCACAGCAGTTCATCATGCACATAATGGTTCAGTGATAGTCTGAACCGATGTCTGGATGTTTCAGCAGAATTCACATGTGCCGAAACCATCATCAACATGTCTTCTGAGTTCATACACGATCTGAAATGTTCTGTTATGACCATTGATGGTGTGGTCTGACCCAGGGAGCTGCTGGACTCTTTAACAAGGAATCACAGGCTGTTCAAGAGAATTCTGATCTTAAATATGCGCATGTAGAATGTATGTAGTAAATACAGAGAGTCTGTTACACTAGTAATATGCAAGTCATTTTACAAAACATTCTTGGCTGTATTGACAAGCAGCAACGTGTCACTGGGAGAAACCAAACCAAAAGTGATGTGTTCAGTAATTAGAACTAGACCTGAGGAACTTGGCCAGAACCTGACGGGTCCTGCATGGAGCCAAAACTGCACTAGAGGAAAAGTGGGACTCATCCTCTGGAGGTACAGGATTTCTCTCTGGGACCAGCCCATCAAGTGACATTAGAACCATGACACTACAAACCATGTTTACTCTGCGTTCTCAGAATCACAATCAGCTTTATTGGTCAGGTCTGTTTAAACACACAAGGAGTTTGACTCCGGTACAGAGGCAGTCAGTGAATTTTGTAAGGCAACATAAAAAATAAAATGAAAGTGGTACATTCAAAATAGGAAAATGTGCAATCATGGAAAGAAAAAAGTCATTCTCATCATTTCCATTTTGTTAATTCAGTCATTTCTGGTAAACAGTTCCACCATTTCAGTGGGGAGTTCCTCCTGAAGGACGAGCCTCGGGAACCACTGCTGTGTTGTCTGATGTAACAGTACCAACGTCAGTTGTTTACCTCAGTTGTTTAGATGATGAGACGCTTATGTTCTAATTAAAGCTTTTAATTGAGGGGAATCGGTGTGAGGATGGACTGCACGCTCCTCATCTCAGTGACAGTTAAGAGGTTTAAATGTCAGACAGTCTACCAAGCTGAGCGATGCAGCCCTTCAGCCCCCTGCTCAGTCAGAAATACTGTACTGTTTACTACGCTATATTTATTTAATACCTATGGTTAATATTTACTTTACAAATTAAGATTTTACTGCAAAACATGTTTAATGAAGCATGCTTCACTGCTTTAGATTAAATTATCCAACTGTAAATGAATAGTCCAAATCATCCACCTTGAGCCAATAAAAATGTCCTTTTCAAACCACATCAGTGATATTGATCGTTAGGTACAAGCTGATGATGCTTGGATATTTACTGTAGTGATGATGTTAGACTTTCACCTGCCATAGAGATTTTACAGTGTAGCGTTGAAGCTTCCTTTTAAAGCTGCATTAACTCAGATTTCACACAGTGTCTGATAAACCCAGTGACAGTGGGACAGGACGTGGTGTCTCTCAGCAGTAACCAGAGCATTCTACTGGACTGACACATTTATGGTTAGCCAGCTAACACTAGCTTCAAACTGTAGGTTGTGTTCTGATCAGTTTGTCCCAACCAGGCATCTGTAGTTCATGTTGTTGCTAGGAAACAGGATGTGATGGGAGGGGCAAAGGGTGGTTAGGAGCAGCTTATGGTGTCAGTTTGTTTTAGGTTTCACTAGACCCTCAAGGCTGAAATGACGTTAGGTACAGTAGGTTTAACAAATAGTGTTCACTGCTGAGTCAGCACATTCCCAGGGCGCCAAATACTTACAATAATTCAAGAACCTTTTGCGTCTCATACTGATGCTAAAGGGTTCCTTTGGCGTTAATATAAGATGCTCTGGGTTTTCATTACGCAGCAGTGTTATCCCACTTCTGTTAGTACACAAAAACTACATGGTTAAGTTTAGCAAAACATCATGGCCGATTAAAAAACACTGGACAACAAAACAGGAAAACTCGAGTGTGTCACTTTATGATCCGAAAGCATTTTGGCCACATCTGTGTGACAGTATCACAACAGATTCTTTCCATAAATAAACATGTGGAACAATCACTGCTGCCCTGAGGCCTGAGTCAATTTCATATGATAGCTCTCCGGTTGAGACGCTGGTGAAATGTCAATTATCTGCCATCCTCCTCCACACAGTGCACTCAGCTTCACAGGGTCCAGGGCTAATCGCTCATCGTTTACCCCTGGTCCCTGTCTGGGTGGTGGCAGGATAGTCTGGGGGTGGGGATGGAGGTAACAACAGTACAAACACAAGACAAGCACACACACACACACACACACACACCGCAATCAGGCAAACTAGGAATTAATCTTAATTTTCACTGGCTCCACCGAGTCACATCTCTGGACTTTCCAGGTGTGCATATGAGTCCAATTAGTGTTTGTGAGGTATGAGACAGGGAAAAATGACAGCGCCTGGCCCTTTGAGCAGCTGATGTTTACACTCAGCAAAGCAGGACAAGATAGATAGATATGTTATTGCTCCTGAAGGAAATTCAGGTATCCAGTAGCAACAGCAGTGATGACCGAAACCACAGCACCAAGCATCAGACTGAAATACAAGGGACCAAGTATTAAAATAAGTATACTATATATTCAGCCGGGGCTCAAACCTAGAACCTTCTGTGAGATGACAGCGCTAACCACTGTGCCACCCTAGTTCTTTTCCATCTATGTTTTTCTCATTTTTGAGCTTTTTGTAATCATCAGAACAGAAAAGTAACCGTCCCTTGACAGTTTTGTGCTCCAAGCCCCGCTGACCCGTTGGGCCTTTGGTCCGGTGCCCAGTAGGCCCATTCAGGGATCCATCTGTGATTCCATTATTGGTTCACAAACATAGATGCAGTAAACATCACTAATGTTGCAGCTGGTAAAGGTGAGGCTCATTTTAACCACCGTTTAGTTGCCAGGTGCCTTCATCCATAACTTCACAGTTTATTAGTTGGTTATGTTTGTTACATCTGCAACTGAAGCTGGTAAATACATGCTGAGTAAAAAGTACCAAGTAGTTGAGAAGGAGTAAAGTAATAAAATGGCAACACTCAAGTACGAAAAGTGCTTAAGTAAATGTACTTAGTTACTTTCCACTACTGGTTGCCAGTTGCTTGAGAACAAAGTATAAAACCAATAAAACATCTAGAAGCCTCAGTTCTCAATCCTGTCGTGTGACGCTTCCGAGGAGTTTGGAGCTGTGAACACTTCCAGCCTCCATCTCCAGCAGTCAAATTAGCCTGTTCTCCCACGTGGACGAGCATTAGTCACAGCTCGTTAATTTTCCCAGGCCTTGTGACGGAATCAGTTCGTGTATAAAGGCAACACCTGTCGCCGCTGCAGAGCCAGACAGAGGAGCAGGGACGGACTGACGTGTGCGCAAAAGTCCTTTTAAAAAGCTGCAAAAGAAAATGAACCCAAACATCTGCGTGTGCTGTTTGTCTCTGCTTGTATTGTTTAATTTCGTTGGAGCCAAACCTGTGTCTGATCTACAGGTAAGTTCACCTGCGCTTTAACTGGTGTGAAATGTCAGTGATGTGTGACTGTTTACTGAAGTGTCATGAAGACGCAGAGTGTGTTACAGATGATGCCAAACTCTCTGCAGTTTGCTGTGCGGTGGATATTTTAGGACAGTCCACTGTGATGAAGAAGTTCATGTTTCTGACTTTGTCCCACAGACTCTGAAGCAGCTCTTAGAAGACGAGATGAACACGGCGCCGTTCTCCTCCTCGGAGGAGATGCAGGTGGAGGGGAAAGATGCAAACACAGACAAGTCGGTGTTCGGAGCTTCAGAGGAGCACCCGTGGGACTCGTTCGACCCCAGCAACTCGGCGCTGGCGGCTAAGGAAAACGTCGTGGCGCGACTCTTCAAGGACCTCAGGAGGACCTCCAAGCGCTCGTGGAACCGGCCCAAGAAGGGCGGGCTGCGGAGCTGCTTCGGGGTCCGGCTAGAGAGGATCGGCTCATTCAGCGGCCTGGGCTGCTAAAGGTGGGAATCAGGGACCGCGGACACGGATCAAATCCTGGTTTCATTCATTTTTGGCAATTGCAACACTGGCTAAATTTAGTTTGTAACCTACATGCAGAGCTAAATAGAGCCTCGAATGTGCAGTTATTTCATATAACATGCAAAGTTCTTTTTACACTCGGGTGTGAAATAGCTCTGCAGAGTGAAACGAGCCTGTAGTTACTGTGTAGTTATTGTGTAGTTATTATTCGTTCAGTAGACACAAAAAGACGTCTTAATGTTTGAGCTCACACATTGAACGTAATGCTGCACACAACAACTTTACTATTTGAGATTTAACATGAAAACCGTTTTAATAATCCATCAGTATCAACTGATTATAATTCATCTGATTTATATGGAAGAATCCGGGTTAACCTGTAGCGACGTGCTTCTGTCCACAGGGGCGGACGACTCCGGGGTTTTCCCATCTTCACATCAGCGTGCTCGCCAACACCGGGGCTCCTCTGGCGCGCACGAAGCTTTGAGCAGCACTTCCCTGTGCGGGTCCTGCAGTCTCTCCTGTGCGTGGTTCTCCTTCAGAACTGTGATTCCCTGTTTCATATGTGAGCTGTTAATAAATAGTTGTAAATGTATTTATTATTTTGTATTATTTCTTGGATAGAGTGTCCTTGTAATAGATTGTATTCTAGTAAAATAATTATTTTGCCTAATAGAGTCTGAGATTGAATTTGTTCCTTTTTGTGGCACCGTTGAAACAAAGGAGCACTGTCACATTATATGCACGTTAAATAAATCGGTTTTAGATGAGGAACAGTTGATAATTTATTATTTTTTTTTACTTTTTATCTCCAGATGTCTGCAGTTATTTGTTCAGTCTGAGCTGTTTGGTTGGAAAGAGACTTGAGAATGGACACATTTAGCTTCTTCGTGGTGATATTTTAATCTGCTTATATCCATGAACAACGTAGCTCTATGTCTTCAAAGCCACGTTTTGGCCTCATAAACAAGACAAAACGAGTAATATGACTGACGACTGGTGAGATGCTGTATTATGAAAGATAACGAGCAACAGCGGCTCCGGCGCATGCAGGAGGAGAAACAGATTGTGCAAATGTCAGAGTCTCTGCGTGATGATGGAGCTACAGAAATCCAGATGGCACTCGTTAACAACAAGAGGTTCAGTGCCAGTCGTGTTAGAGGTCCACATACAAGCATAGAAAACTGACGCTGCAGCTCTGTGAGAAGGGTTTGGTTCGACGGTTCTGCCTGCGGGACCAGCTGGAAGGCTCTGTATCCTGCAGTGTCCGAACTTCAGGCGTGTGCGTAAAGCTTCTCTGAGGCTCGATCCACGTCTGCATTAACGTGTTTAGTCTCTTACCAGCAGCTGGTTGCTGGCACTGATCAAACAATTTCAGTTTCATTATTTTAAAGCATAAAATTAATCACAAGAATAAAGTGAAGAGACGCGTTTCCACGGCGAGTTTATTGGTACATTTTAAACGTCTTCCTGCCATTTACACAAATTCTGAGGTATTTAAATTCGATGGTAGTTTTGTCAGTACAGTTCTGACCCTGTAGTGGTCACTTATGTTTACATGTCTCATACTAACATCACATGAGAAGCCTGTGAGCCAGTGGCTCTGCGTAAATCAAACTGTTTGTGTCTCCTTACCACGTTTCAGGTGTCTATGATTTCCACCAGAGTTTGTCCTCTAAACTTCTAACAGAGGTCACGTGATCTGGTACCTCATTAACAAAAGTACAGATAAGAGAAAACTCCAAAAGATGAAAACAGATTTGTGTTGCAGTACTTTGTTCCCACCTGGATTAAACTGGCTCCTCGACCAAATACAACAGTAAAATCCTGAATGCTTATAAACTAAAAATATATCAGTAAAGATCTGCTTTTACATTCGATTCTTTAAATACACTTAGCTAATATTCATTTACTACAGGTAGAATGTTAAATACAGGACTGGAGTATTGGAGTATTTCCAATTGTGATATTAGTACTTTGAATTAAGTAAACGAGTGTCCTGGTGGCAGCTCAGACACGTTGTTTACACTAATGTCACAAGTTTTTATTTGTGTTTTCTTCTTGTATTAAATCTTTTAGTATGCAGAGACCAATTTTAACAGATTGGAGCATCAATACTCACTGTCTCCTGGTCCTCTGACATAGGCAGCCCAGTCCACTTTAATGATGGGTCTTTGTCTCCACTGATTGATGAACAGGAACAGTCAAATTCATGGGGAAGGGAGAGATGTGAGGTCATTGTGACCTTGACCTCTGACCTTTGACCACCAAACTCTAATCAGTTCATCCTCGATTCCAACTGGACATTTGTCACAAATTTGAACAGATTTCCTCAAGGCGTTCCTGCGATACTGCGTTCACAAGAATGGGCCGGGCAGAAGGACAGACATACAACCCGCCAGCATGGAGGCGTAAAACCTGCAGAGTGAATGAGAGTTCTCCGTGACATGTTTTACATTATCGCTAGTCATTTGATCCATTGTTGATGTAAAATATTATTAGTGCAGCCTTCATATTTTTATTACAACTGATTCAGGCTGTAATCTTAATGTGATGCGATGTCTCCTAGTGAGGTCAGAGGTCACAGCCTTTTCTTTTATACAGTGCTGCAACATTTTGCCCCTGTGGCGCTGTCCCCCCGCTGCACTTTGTGAATGTTTGTGTAAACACGTCCCAAATTTGGATCCTCACACTGAAGGCTGGTCTCGAACCAGCAGGCTACCCCACCATTATCACGTACACGCCTCAATTTAGTAACACTGTCACCCTCTGCTAGTTTACTACTTCCAGGAAGCGAGTGACAACAATGTCCTGTGTAGAGTGGGGTAGGAGTAACAAAGTAGCATATGGAAGCAGCTATGTCATATGAATGCTCCATATCTGAGAGACAAGGCTTTAAAAGGAGCCGTTTCCGATAGCTCCTGTTATCAGAATCAGGTGTCAGGAACGCCAGCTCAATTCCTGGCATACCTGCATGTGTCCAGCTTCAGTATAAAAGAGCAGAGGGTGCCACTGTGGATTCCAGCATCCAAACAGCTGCCAGGCAAAGAAGCCCAAGATCAGCCATCCAGCCATTGATAGGATCAGGAAGAACTCACAGACAAACATGCATCTGTCTTTCATTTCCCTCTGTGGCCTCCTCATCTTAAACCTGCAGCTGGTCAGCACATTTCCCATCAGCACCAGCTTGACCGACACTGACATGGACGTCTTAAAGGTGAGCCTCCAAATAAGTGATTCTGAAACTTGGGTGTGGAAAGTTGGAGTTTTAGGGCTCCACCATCGGGCCTCGTGGACATTTTAGGAACTCACCAGTGAGATGGGACAAACATTTTCATTTCATTCACTGTATCAAACATCAGATATCTCAGCTTGTATGAAGATGTTTCATTCAGAAGCGTTTTACATGAAGCTCTGGGACCATATGTGAATTAATGGGACTCTAATGAAAATAAACCGACACTCTGAGCAAATAGTACATGTAAAAAGTGCTTGACAATATACTTTCTGCCTGTCCTGTAAAAATGATTCTGAATTCTTCTGCTTGTGTGCTGAGAGGTGCTACCAGATGTATTTGAGAGCCCTTCCTGTAAACGCTAACCCAGCTTATGTCTGTGTGTCTGCTGCAGGTGCTCCTACACAGACTAGAGGAGTCCCTTTCAGAGCAGACTCAGGTGGACCAGAGAGTCCCCTCAGAGGTGAATGATCTGGAGAAGGCAGAAGACGCACAGCAGCTCCAGACTGGACTGGACGAGGCTGTGATCAGGGAGTTTCTCTCAGCCAAGAACCTGAAGAGCATCCGAAACGATGTGTCCAAAAAACCCTCTGGCTGCTTTGGTCGACGCTTGGACAGAATAGGCTCCATGAGCTCGCTGGGCTGCAACACAGTCGGCAAATTCAGTAAGTTACACCAACAACAGCTGTAAGATGAACCGCCAACAATGGCTCCAGTTGGGGTTTTTCTCCTCATAGTGTCTTTAAAATGGTTTTAATTCTGATAATATATCAAATGTGAGTTTAGTTTACCATGAACTCTCAAATTAAAGAACATGTGAATATCTATAACAGAGCTGTTGTCGTGTTCTCTTGCAGAGCCAAAGTAAAGATGAAGTCTTACCATGGAAATTCTGGAACTGCAACGTCTCTACCGAAGATATTTTTATGTGAAGGCTATTTATTTACTGATATTTATTGATTATTGTTTGTGGCTTATTTATTTAAATTTGGATGTGACATTGTTCTTTATGTACTGTTCAGTGTTCTAATAAATGTTTACAATGTGCACCACTGAGCCGAGGGCTGCTTGAGCATCACTACACACACACACACACACACACACACATTATAATGTGCAGCTATACAACAAATGGCCACTTTTCAGGAGGGTTTTCAGTTTGAAATTCAGAAATGATGTTACAGTTATTAATTCCAGTAACGCTCGGTTACTCTGACATCTGGCTGTCTTACCAGCGATACGATGGAGGCTGACGTCAGTTCCCTCTCGCCACTTTCAGCAGATGCATTGATCCAGGACATGGTAGCTTGGCGCAGGGGTCTGCTGTAAATAAGGGGACTTATTGATGTAAAATGTAGACCTCTGTAACATCAGGGTTGTGTTTACATACCAGAGAAGCAGTAACATCTGGTAACATCTGCACATCAAGGGTTTCATGGGTTTTACAGTATCAGCTGTTTACTGTACCTCAACAACATTTTCTTGTTATGAGCCACAATTTGAAAAGGCCTTTGGCAACTCATCTAATTAATGCAATCAGATTACACAGATGTAAGAAAGTAATTACGTTAGACAATCTTTGGAGTGGCTAAAGAGTTTTGACGTACATATGCACAGTACGGCTCATCCCTCCCTTGAAACGTGGCCACTCCCTGTGTGAAGAAGACTTTATCTTCTCTAGGAGGTTTATGTGCTCGTTGTCTGGAGGTAGAAGAGGTCGTCCACCCATCACAGAGTTTGTAGTTTGGTTCCCAGTCCTCCAGTCCACATGCTGAAGTGTCCTTGGGCAACACACTGAACAACAAGTGAGTCAGGGCGGTTCGGTGCCTTGCGTGGTCGCTCTGCCGCCATGATGTGTGAATGTGTCAGTGAGTGGCCACAGTGTAAAGCACCTTTCTGTTGGGGTAGGAAAGCACTATATGAGGGCACTACACTTACTGTCATGGTTTGTGGAACTGAATCGTTCTCACACATAGAGCAAATTGTTTGTTTATAGGAAATGTTGATGGAGGACAAGGAGGCAAAGCATGAGAGCAGAACAACAGAAACAGGAGTAAATGTGAGAATTTGTGTAGAAAGTGGTTTTGGAAATAAGTTCACCAAGTAGAAAATACTGCATGGAATCATCTCCAGAACATGGCTCTGTCAGTTCTAGGACAAGTGCAGTACATGATTGAATGTAGTTCAGTGGTGGAATTAGTACTCACATTCTTTACTTGAGTAGAAGAAGAAATAACACAGTGTAAACAATTTTAAAGGTTCACAGATATTAGCATAAAAATACACTCAAAGTAGCAAAAGTACGGTACTCATCCTGCAGAACGGCCCGTGTCACAGTAATGATGCTACTGGATCATTGTGTAATCATTAAGTACAGTGCTTGAGTAAATGTACTTAGCATTCCATCAGTAATTTACAGGAACAGGAAGGGACTCAACATACTGGACATACTTAGTGACCTAAGACTCTTTAAGGTTTTGGTGCAGTAATCAGCCGATTAAATAAATGAAACGCCTTTGACTGGATGTGTGACTTCACTGATTCTCACACATGTAAACAATATGTAGCAGTGGACATCAGAGTTGCTGCTGACAGTTCACTCTTGATTTTGAAAACAATCTCAACTCAAGCGTTCGATGGTGGGTGTAACTTCAACAGAACCAAACTAGCTGCTTTGAGTTTGTCAAACTACTAGACCATCACTGTCGTATCGATTTTCTCATCTCACTTCTCACACGAGACTTAGTCACCTATCACAATGAATATTATGTACTACAAATCTTCTATACTGTCGACACGTATCATTGCTTCCTTCCTCTGCTGACCTGATCCATGTGGACTCCCTGTAACCCAGTAGCAGTAGTTTTACCTACTATGGTGTTTTTCAGTCTCGGCGTGTCGGCAGCCTGAAGTGTTTGCATGGTGAATGCTGCATTCCTGTCAATACACACCACGTCTGAGCTCAGTGCTCCAGGATGGTTCCTGAGGTCATGCTACTGGTGGCTGGTAAGCGTGATGACACACAGACACATATTAACTGTACACACACACACACACACATCACCTACCACCAAGTGCCACTTACAGGAACATCTGACCAGCTGCCTTATCATACAGAGGTGTCAGAATGCACTTGAGATGGTCTACAAAATGATGAGCCACTGACACTGACTGTCTGTTGCACAGGGAGCGTGTGTGCATGTGTGTTGTATATAAAATCTTGCAGCGCAGGTTGCAGTAACAGAAGTAACAGCAGAAGGATAACATGAGGATCGTGGTCCTATGGGGCCCACTGGCCCTACTGGCTCTACTGTGTGAGCACACACTGGTCAGCAGTCACATACTGGGAAGAGCCTCTTCTACCAGTGACTTGGCTCAGCTCAAGGTAAGAAACCACAGCACACTCACAATTAAAGAAGGGAGTTGGTAAACGGTGTCGTGTATGTTCGAGCAAAGACGAGAAGAAACAGTTGAAAACTTCCACATGCTTTAGGATGAACACAGTACTTTTATATCCACTATTTTATATTCACTACCAGAATTTAGTATGTGGCACTGTGGAGAGGGAATCGGGACAATCTGGACAATTTTTCTGACATTCATTCCACATCTTTCTCCCTCCTTTCTTACAAAGGTTTCAGTGGTAAATATCGTGCTTAATGATCATTCCCATATATTTACATGATATGCCTGAGAAAACGATAAGACTGTCATATGTTAGTGATCTTTGGACGCCCTTACATCAGTGGCACCTGCAGCACAGTGCGTAGAGCTTTTAATGATTTTGCTCAGGTTTTACGCCACTGCCCGATCAAAATATATCATATACAGAGAAATGTAGTTTACCTTTTATGTCCCGAGGAGCTAACTAATATGATGTTGTATGGCACAGAGTGCATCACATCATTTCTACTCCCCAACGTGAGCCCTGCGGCTGCCGCCAAACACACACATCACCCCCCGCCAGTCAAGCCTGAAACACCATCATGTGCAGGGTGTTTTTTATTTATCGTGGTTTTTGAGCTGCAGTCGTGTTATTATGTGGACTAAATACTGTGCGTGGATGTCAAGCACGGAGCAAGCTGGAGCGTACAGGGCTGGTTACTGTGGAAAGTTGGTATGGGGGGTGTGGATGAGAGAGAGGCTGCTAAACTGAATGACGCCACTGCTCCAAGTCAGTGTGCACGCTGCACTCACTCCACATTGTGCATGGCTCCTGTTATAACTATAAAACACAGTTTGTATTAAAACATGAACATTATATTTTACCATGAAAGTATCTCGTAAAAAGGAGCAAAGTTTCTTGTTATAATGAGAAAAGTTTCTCTTTAAAAGAAGATTTAGCTGGATAGGCAGTTCTTTGGTTTACTATGATTACCTGATTTATTATGATTATTTGATGGTCAGAGAAAAGTTTGTTCTTCTAACCCTAAACCAACTCTAACTGGCAGCCAACCCTAACACAACAAGAATATCGCCAGTGTTTCCTAAAATGTTTGACTGCTCTGTCAAAGGAGTGTTGTGTACTAAGTCAACAAGCATCCCCTCACTTTGAGTTAACAGACGGTCACTTTCCGTCTAAATTTAATTTCAGGTTTAATGGAATTCACAGAAGGTCAGAAAAAAGCAAAACAAGCAAGTTATGATCTACAACTTCACCAGCACCACATTTAATATTATATGGAGTTGAAAAGCAAGTGGAGCACAAGGGTTTTATTTTTTAATTTACAAGGAACTGTCATTTTAAAGTATCAGTTCAGCATTGCAGCACAGCCTTACTAAACAGTATAGCAGGTCTTTTCTAGGTAATGCAGCTATTGTAGTGCATGTTTATGGGCGCATGTTTGGAATTGAATTCTACATGGGATTTTAAGTTGTGAGACTGAAGAGACACATCATCGCTATACTGCTCACAGTTATTTATCTCAGTCCAAGGCTGGCAGTGCACACTCTGAGGGCTTCTGACCAAGCAAACGAATGTGTATTAAACCACCTGTTGAAGTCCTAGTGAGTGCCTGGCACCAGATGTACTTGCTTGCTAGTCTAGTTTAAACTTTAATATCATTGCTTTTTGTAACATTCCTGGTCTGTGTTGATGCACGGAATTACCCAAAAGCCCAGATTCACTAAAAGAGTTTTTCAGTCAGCATGCGTTTCCTGTAACTAAGATACTGACAGAATGTTATCAGCCCGGGTTTTGAAAGTGAACCCGTCTTCGTCTCTCCACACCAGTCTTTGCTGGAGCGCTTTGAGGAGACGCTGAGTGAAGCAGCCCAGGAGGAGGAGGACCCTGAAGCAGATTATGAAGGTACAAACCAAGAGTCTGCACGCAGCCAGGCTGGCCAAGGATGGAGCCTGGACCAAGAACCTTCGATACCAGAAACGTCTCAGTCAGCAGCGGAGGGCCACAGCAGGGCTGCGAGCCAGAGGAGCCGCCTGCAGGACTTGCTGATAACCGCCAGGAAACGGGCCTCTGGCTGCTTTGGGGCCAGGTTGGATCGAATAGGAAGCTCCAGCAGCCTGGGATGCAACAGTGGAAGAGGTAAGAGGTAAATTTGTTTTTAGAAAAAGGCTACTGAAGTATGAGAGTCAAATGTTTGTGCTTTTTGAATAATTATTGAAATTTCTTGCAGAGGCAACATCAGTTTGACGGTCTGTAGCCACAGAGCTCAGGTTATTAATGGGCCCCAGAGGATGATTTCCTAATGGTGGTTATGTCACATTTTGTTGTCCTGACCTTTCCTCAACATCAGAGTAAACTTTTCTATTGAGCAGCTCTTTAATCCATCAAAAAGGGTCCATCTGCAAGAGATTTCCTCAAGTGCAACACACACTAGACAAATATATGTATTTAGTTGAGCACATTCACGCTCCCAGATAATAAACCATTTCAATTTCAAAGGAAAGAGCTTGTCATTTGGGGAAACACACTTATTCTTTGTAAGCATGAGCTGAGAAAATAGAGTTTACTAAGGAGGTGGAGACAGGAGGTGACTATCTCTAAATAAACTGTCATTTAACAGATGTAAAAACAACAGTAAAGGATTTCAGTAGCTGAGAGACACTGTGTCCTGTCCCACTGCCACTGGGTTTATCAGACTGTGGGGAAAGTCTGAGTTAGTGCCCCTTTAAATAAACAGATACAACACAATCTTCAGAGCTGTTGGGAGGCGTATTTTTAACAGAACTAGCAGCTTCTCCATTTCCAGTCTTTATGCTAAGCTATGCTAATTGAGTTCCTATTCCAACTCTAGTGAAGAAATGAGACTGAGATCCAGCTGAATGTCTCACTCTAAGAAAGAAATCAAACTAGCATTTCCCAAAATGTTGACCTATTCCTTTATTGACACTGTGACCTTTCCTGTAGCACTACTTCCACCTATCAGTGAATAATAAAAGCATCAGTATGTGGATGTATTGTCTCTTACTGTGGGATGTAAGGAACACTGCAGCCACTAGAGCCTATAACATGAAATGAAACTGTATAAATACAATATTGTGTTGACGTATGAAGCGTTATTTATAATAAATGTATTTTTTTGTGTTTGTCATTTTCCCTTCAGGCTAGTCTGATGGTTTCCTGGGACACATGTTTATTCTAGTTTTATCTGAAGACACAACCAAAGAGTTTGGAAATGTATGATTTTGCAACAGTGATAGTTCAGCTACAGTACATGTATCTCTGTGATGTTTTACTGTGACACACTGGAAAATAAATGAATTAACTGCATAAATGCATGTGGGCTGCTAACGATGATAAATAAATTCTTTTTTTCCATATGAAAAATCCAGTCATTTTTTCAAGTCTGCCTTAAGAGACTGAAAGTTTCTTTACCGCCACACACTCTGAAGCCATGACACAACAAAACCTGTGCCGCTGCAAATTCAAATTAGTCCCCTTCAGTCAGTCTGCGTCTGGCCATATCTGCTGTTATTTTAGCTGTTCACCAGATTTCACGCTGCAGTCAGTGGACATCAGCTACGGCCATCTCTTTAATGATAATGATGTTAATGATAGTCACTTTATTTGGCCAAGTATCTTACACACACAAGGAATTTGTCTCTGGTACAGAACCGAGGCAGCCATCTGTGGTGCTGACTCTTTTTTTATTTTTATTTTTTTATCTGACACGACAAGCTGAGTGGACAATCATGAATCGCCTTCTGCTGTGTGGTACAGTAAGATAAGATAAACCATTCAATTATGTGAACACAGTTGAAGATCATTTCAGTGCCCACAGCAGCTTCACTGTTTTAATTTTCTGGTTTTAGAAGTGTCCTTGAGCAAGAAACCGAAGCCCCATTTGCTCCCAGTGATGCCACTGGTGTGTGAATGTGTGAGTGCTTGGGAATGTGAATGGGTGAATGTCCAAATAATGTGGAAGTGCTTTGAGTGATGCATAGAAAAGTTCTGTACAAGTAAAAGACCATTTACAAAGCCTATGTCCACATCACAGGCCTTAACACCCAGATTTGATCTTGTTGTGTTGTTGCTTTCTGTCCATGTGTGTCAGCGCCGTGTACCCGGCTCCGGTGTGAACACCACTGAGCTCCTAAACTGCCACACGTGCACAGGTGTAACTGAAATGTGAGCCATGTACGCACAGGAACAACAACCAGGTGGTGTGTGTGACAGTCAAATGGCCCAGTTTCCTCCCAAACCACTGGGTTATGATATGTTCCTCCCAGTTTGTCCTGATCAGAAGCTTCTCCATAAACGTCCACCACATGTGAAACGTCCTGGTCTCTCCACTGACCCTGTCGCTGTCGTCGCTCTCCTCCATGTTTATTGTTATTGTCTGTGATGAGCCGATGCTGAATGATGACGACAGGCCGTATGTGCAGAGGAGGAGACTTTAAAACGACCACATGGATTCTGATCAGACTGTTCTGACAGCGCTGCACAGTCAGAGGTCAGAGAGGAATCGGGTCAAGGAGCACATACACAGGTGGCCCAGATCTGGTCTGAGGACATCTGGTCTGGTCTGTTCATACCTTGGTGGACACAGGTTTTGGGTCACTTCAGCTGGGATGTGAAAGTAGCTAAAGTTACTTGGTAGCATAGAGCAAGTCTGTTGATATATTTTCAACTCAGCAGAATATTCTTACACTCCAAAACTAACTACAATTGGTTACATACCGTAATATCCCTCTTGCCTAATGGGAAAGGTGTCAAAAGCAGACTATAATTTGTTCATTAATTTCTTCCATTCCTTGTGTTTGTGTTCAGTCGCAGTTTGTATAATTCCTTATATGATACGTAACATTTGGTGTCAGTGCTATAAAATCTCTCATCAGATCAGTTGGACCCTGTTTCCACTGCAGGATGCTATGTAGAGTGGTTAGACACAGCGAGGCTTTGAGCTAAAGGCTAACATTAGCATGCTCATATTGACAATAGCCAACGTTTCCTAAATAGCACTTAACCGAAGGTACAGCTGAAGCTGAAAGTGAATGCCATTTGTTTTGCAGGTATTTGGTCATAAATCAAAGTAATCAAAGTACTGGATAAACTAAAAATATGACCTGATGACGGTGCAGGAGGAAAAGTCTACAGTTCATCCTGAGAGGAACGTGAATGTGTGTAACTAATATCATCACAGCCTACTCAGTAGTTGTTGAGACATTTCATTCTCTACCGACAACATCCTGATGGTGGTGCTGGAGGAAAGGTCAGGGGGTCACTGGGATACAAACAAATAAACAACAGGTGAAATGATAATGAACTATGTGAAGTTGCTACCATTTTTTCTTGTTTTTTTAATTTTTCAAGTATGAACCAGTTTCACCCTTTAACACCTATCTCACGCCCAAAGAACGTTGGAACAGACTCCAGTCTCCTGCAGCCCTGAACAGGGTCACCAGCTATAGGAAACTGATGGATGCATGGAAACTAATTCACTTTCTGCTTTCAACTTGCTATCAAATAAAAATAGATTGTTGAGAGAGAGGAGTGATTCATACAGGAGACAAGGCTGTTGTCTAAATGCATGTGACAGGCAGCAAGAAGTCACTGTGGGTTATGACAAAGTAACTGTCACACTCCTCTGTCAAGTCCGATTATAGAAATCATGGATTCAAGATTTTTTTTATTCACCATTTATGCATAAACACACAGTGTAGGCATATAGGAATTATTGTGCAGGACTTTCCTGGAGTCAAATAAAGAGGCCAGAAGAACAAACACCTAGTCTAAATATAAGATAACCCAAGAATACAAAAAACAAGAATACCTACAAATACAAAATAGTTGATACATTTGTGGATACAGGACTAAGATAGCAGGTAAAATGGGGAGTTTCAGATATTTCACATAGTATAATTGTATGTGGTCTTCTACTTAGTAGAATATGTGGAGATGAATGAAACTACAACCAGACAGCTGCTGAGGTACACCAGCCTGCGCTGACCTACCCATCTGTCACCCCTCAGAGTGCCGAGGGTGGCTGCTGATGCCAGCGTTAATAGTCTGATCCAGGTGATAAGGACAGGTGCAGTTTTCTTCTCACTGTGGACCAGGCTGATCTGGGCAGACTGGGAAGCTTAGTGTGGCCTCCCTGGCCAGGCTAATGTGGAAAACATGAAAGTGGGCTTTAGACATAGCATGAACACACACCTATTCATCGTCTAAGAAGGCAAGAGTAATTATACAACTGTTACACACATTTCAAAGTCAGGTCTGTACATTCGGAGCAAACACTAAACTCTAAAGCTCTGCTGGTAGCTGCAGTGTTACACTAGACCCTACACTACAGTTAGAATGAACAACAAAGATAATAAAGCTGTTGTTAACATTAACTTGAGTCTGTGCATTGCTTCTGCCGACTCTAAACAGGAGTGCAGCGTGAACATGGCTTGGCACTGCTGCAGCAGTGCAGTAACAGTGGTGATACTTCTGCCTGCCAGTCACAGCTCGTTGTAGACCAGGACATTTGAGGACTTTTTTAATCACACAGCGCCCTCTCTTGGAGCTTGTCATTATTATGTTTCATACACAATACAGACTTTATCGTCATTATAGACAACACCAGCATAGGTTACACAGCCTCTTGTTGGGCCATCTATAGGCCTTACTACAGCTCATAGAGTTTAATGACATATTTAAGTTGAGTCACAACTTCCACCAGACTTATTACAGCTTTATTCTGGGAAGATGAGTTCAGATTTTATTTATTTTTTGTAACATGGCACTACAGTGTCCTTGTAGTGATGTAAAGTAACTACAGCTATATTAGACACTATATTAGTAAAGCCATATTAGACAAATAGCCTAAATGTACTAGAGCAAAAGGTACTTTGAAGGGAAGTAACGTGACCCTACATCAAAATGGCTCCAATTTTAACCTACATGTGTAAATGTAGGCTAATAGTCACGCTCCATCACTGGTAATCAATCAATCAATCAATCCTCCCTCCGCCAGTGTCAGGACCAGTCTGTGCTGTTTCCATAAGGACTGGGTAGAAACAGAACCAACACTGCCCCCTGGCGTTCGTTGTTAACGGTGTGAAACCCTCCGCGCCAATCGTCTTTACAGGAACTATCATTTAAACTTGTTTTAGTTTTGGACAAATGTGATATAAAAGCTACAGCCTACTGAATGGGGGTTTTGTTTCAAGCGAACTCAAAGGTAGAATTCGGCATAAATCCAGCGAACCGAGGAGCAGTTCATTTCAGTATAAATTAAAGCTTTCGGAAGGAGCTCGTCTGTTTCTTTACACCCAAAGTAAACCACATCTTGTTCATTATAGCTATAAATGAACTCATAGCTCTGTGGGTGTCTTCTAAAATGACGGTGTGTTCAGCTGCACTCCGACACAAATCTGCTCATAGGAAGTGAAGCTGAATGTCCGCAGTGCAGCAGGCTGCTCCCCGACCAGTGCGGTGGGAGAGCGGGACAGACAGAGGAAGAGGAGGGGTAGAGAGGGAAACACGGCAGGAAGCCCCTGGACAGAAGAGTTTCTTGGAAGCCCGTGGTTAACCAAAGCCATGTTTTCGGAGTAGGAGTGTGAGGAAGCCGGTGGACCGCAGCAGTGGGACCGTGAGGTGAGGCTCTGCAGCCGGTTGGCAGTCTGGGTGTTGATCAGCTCGGTGATGACCTCCAGACCGCGAACTGCTTGTTATCACTGTTAGTCAGGAGGGCTGTGCACCAAGAGTGTTTGTATGTTGTGAAACATGAGAGAATCCAGATGTGGACGGGGAGTCAGTCCACCGACATGTGGAGCCAGGAGGTTTCATTCTCAGAGTAAAGCACACACAGTTTCCACACGTTACTATGAAGTACATGTACTCATAATGGGAAAAATCACTTCAGTACTCTGCATGCAGGTGAGCACGGAGAGCACCTAGGCAGACATCTGGGTGAAGAACTCAGATGTTTGAAGATGAGAAAACATCAGTGATGGCAACATGGAGGCATTTTTCATTTTGTGTCTTTCTTGCATCTCTTTGTGATTGTTCTGTCTCTGTGCAGTCCCTGTGTGTCTTTATGGTCTCTGTAGTTGTTTCAGGTCTCTGGGAGGGTTTTGAATCTGTGTATGGTTCATTTGGACTCTGTGCTCATTTGGCATCTCTCTGTAGTCTGATAACTGACCTGTGACTTTCACACATAAACTTTTAAGAGTCAATTCAATTTCAATTCAGTTCTATTTGTATAGCGCCAAATCACAACAAAAGTCATCTCAGGACACTTTACAAAGTAAGGTCTAGACCTTACTGTTATCAATATTATTACAGAGGGAAAACCCAACAAATCCCCCTTGAGCAAGCACTTGGTGACAGTGGGGAGGAA